TACAATTGCATAATTTCATATACTTTCTAATAGCTTGCTTTTTTGATACAACACCATGACTTCTTAGATTTTGAGGCATTACAACTATTCTTGAGGTCAGCCTAGTTTAGCATGTAATAAATAGGAAGGAATTATGTCACCGAAGGGTGCACTTTATAGATGACAAGTATAGAGATGAAGCTGAAGAGGATAGTATAAGTGTACAACCATGTCCTCTAGAGTTGGGGGTCCAGGACCATCGACTTATGAAAATACGGATACTTATACATATCCAGGCACATTGCATCACAAGATAATATAAAACAGAGCAATACACATTTTTTTATACAGTGGCTATCATTTGACATATTTTGGAGCATCTCATAATCAATATACCACCTTACATAGCTACAAACACCATCGTTACTCTTTCCGTCAGCACCTTTTTGGATGGCACCAAGGTCATCATCTTCAGCATTGCATTTCACTAAACAATATTGAATGGCACCTCCAGTTCTACAACAACGGCCGTAGATTATGAACACAATCTAGTCAAGCATTTATGCTACATGCACTACGGGAGGACAATGGCAAAGTTGTCCAAAGCATCATCAACAAGAGTGACACTTACGTGCCCCAATTTACTACGCATCAGAACTTAGGAGATATGTTAGACCAGTCCAATTTGAATTAGGGGATTCAATTAAATATTGCTTTGGAGGGAACAACTCAATTAAATATTACTTTGGGAGGGGACAACTCAATTAATATTGCTTTGGGAGGGAACAACTCAATTAAATATTGCTTTGAGATTTTAATTGCTTTGAGAGGGAAAAATTGAATTAGGGGTTGTTTAGGGATTTTATAATATTCTTTGCTTTAAATAGCTTCTCTTGTAAGGGTTAGGGTTTCATCTTGAATTTGGTTGAAATTTGAGATCTCTTAGGTTTAGTTGTTTTGGGCTCTAGCGGCGTCTAGAGATTTGGGAGAGATAGATCCTCCTCTCGAATAGAGGATCAATTGTCTTGCTTTATTTCTTCCGTTAGTTTGATTTCTTCAATAAAAACTATTGTTTTGTTGATTTTCCCATGGGATTTGTGGGGCATTTTGCTGTTTTTTCGTCTCTATTAATAGGTATTACTTCAAATCTTCATGTGTTTCCTATCAAATTGGTATCAGAGTGCTTTCTTGGGCGGAAAAATATGATATCTTCGCTATCAACTGCAATGATCTAATTAATGACAACAAATAAGATGGAGGCGTTGGAAGGCGAGATGGAGCAATTCAAAACCGGGGAGGAGAAGTTCTCTACTATGAAAGAAAGATTTTTATATATGGAAAACCGATTTAGAAGGAAGGAGGAGATGTTAAGAAGGCTCTTGGAGATGCAAACAAAAACTTCAAGAGAATGGTTTCGATGGCTAACCCTAACCAAGATTTGACAGGGATTCCCTTGGCTGAAGTGAAGCAAGAGGAGTTTGACAAGGGGATTTTCTTTCATCAAGAGCCACCTCATGTGGCTCTGATAAAGAGTGGATCAGGGTCTCTGGATGAGGGGACAACAAAGATGAAATTTTTTGGTGGAGGCAATAGGGCGGCCAACCACTATGAGAGGTATTTTAGGGTGGAGCCACTCATCGGAGAATGAGGGGGTTAAGAGCTACCTCCTAGGGCTCCGAAAATGGGCAGAATAGGGTTATCGGATGGGGGAACAGCAAGAATGGCATTTCATGGTGAAGGTGGTGGGATGGCCGACTCCTATGGGAGGTCTTTTGGGTAAGGGAAGAGGATGACCGAAGGAGGGGGATGGGCCGAATCATGGTGATCGGGTCATGTGAGGCGAAGGGAAGGAAGGTGGGATTCCCACACACGATACATGCGGGAAATATGGATGGATCACGACAACCGCTATGCTGGAGAAGGAAGAAGCTATTGGGGTGGTAGTGATCCTAGGGTGAGGAAGTTGGGATGCCAGTGTTTAAAAGGGATGATGCTTATGGGTGGGTGTACCTGGTGAAGATGTATTTCATGGCGAATGGGTTGACTGAGGAGGTGAAGTTTACTATGGCATGGTTATGTCTAGAGAGGAAAGCTTTAGTTTAGTTCCAGTGGACGATAGCATAGCCACTAACAGAGCAGCTGAACAAAGTTATCAAAAAGTTCCAACCCTCCACCTTGAGGACAAGGTAGACCTTTGGGAGGAGAGTATTGTTAGACCGGTCCAATTTGAATTAGGGGATTCAAATAAATATTGCTTTGGAAAAAAGGGAATGGCCGTTTTAAAAATTTTGCCTGCAAAAAATATAAGTTCATGTCTATTAATTATTAACTTCAAATTATCTAAATCTTTCAAAACATTTATAAAGAGCTATGGCAGTTTTAAAAAAATACCAAATCATGCAGCTTAATTGTGATTTGGCATCTATCATGGCAAGATTCTTCCATGGTGACAAGCAAATCGTGCTTGTATTCTATGATGAAGTCTTGTTTAAAAATTTTCAATAAACTATCTGGTTCTTCTTACAAATTTATATTAGTTCTATTTTAAAATTTTTAACTAATATATAAAAGGCCAAAAAAATGTCGGGTAAATGTGGAAGATTAAAGAGGATACCATATCACCAAGGTGGTGGAACAAAAAGGATTATGATAATCAAGAATGGTAAAGACGAAACACCAATAATTACACTGTTAGGTAACCCAATGAAAGAAATGAAAAGATGTAAGTAAATTTATATAAAAATAAAGAATAGAGGGGCAATCGAACAGAGGTAAACATTATAAAAGAAAAAGGTTTGAAATACTCAGCTTTGCAGAAAAATAATGAAAGATATCAAAAGATGGGAAAAGGCTTAGAAAATAAAAATGGAGCAAAGCGTCTTAAGTCCAACTACATACCATGAATAGTGTGGCTTTATCTAAGTAATAAGGGAATGGTTGATATGAATCAACCATAGAAAAATAAATGCATCCTTCCAACGAGAATAATAACCACACCAACAACTTTAAAATAAAATGCGGCTACAGAAGCTATAAGACACTATAAAGATACTATGACCTGCAATATCTTTCACCGCAATAAGGTATTTCCAATGCGACATACTTTCAAGATAACACGACCTGCAATGTCTTTCACTTGCCATAAGGCAATGCTTAACAAGAACCCTTTTAAATTGGTTGCATTACTAATGCCAAGTCATCAATTTGTTGCACCGCACTGGCCAATTGCCAAAGGTGCCAATTTGCCAGAACAACAATAACTCAATAAATAAATAAATGAAAAGCATAGTCTATGGTGAATGATATCCATCTCAAATATGACTATGATACCTTTAGTGAAATTGGCAGCCACATACATGTTAAAATAATGATCAATTCAGTTTAGCAAATAAAAAATTCAATTGCCAAGTATGTCGTGAGCAAACTTCATTTTATAAAATACTAAACATTAGTTTGTATGATATTATAAAGAACATGGTATCACTTGTACCATCTAAATTCTTTCATAAAATAGTCTTGAGGCAACCAAAAAAACACTAGAAATTTTCGTAGATGTGTTGTGTGCTGCATGTCCAAAACGCTTGACTGATACTAAAAAATACGGAGGTAGATACAAATACACATTGTAGCAATTATTCCTAGTAACAGAGAGAATCAGAATGCAATTTTGTTCTTAGTCACTCAGGCCGTAACTAGAAGCTCGGCACAACTACAAAACAGCTGCACCAGGAGTATCATCTAGTGAACAAAACCTGTCATAAGTACCTGCATTGGCTCATCAAGTTCATCTCTATTCTTAGGTCATCAACTATATGGCTTTCTATAGGTTCAGCATAAACGTAGGCCAATCAATAGGCAGATGAGTGAATATGATTGACAGAAGGAACCTCTTCTCAGTAGAAAATCAAAATACCACAAGATTTCTAACCATAACTCAAAATACACCTCAATTCTACAAGGATGACTAACAGGCAATTAAAGGAAGTTGTCTATGGTGTAAATCAACCAAAATAGAAAACATGAAATGCAAGGAGGGCATAATGAGGATTAAGAAAAGTTAATCGTAGAATTTAATTTTCACGATCAGAATACAAGTGTGGATACAGAAAACCTTCAAAAGCATTAATTTGCCAACAATTAAATATACAATGGGCCAAAGGATAAAAAAAAAGTGGGGAAACAAATCAAAATTATATCATAATGTTGCAAGCGAGCAAGGGAGCGGAACAAGAACAATTTGGGGTCTTGTTCAACTTGATTCTTAATAATCAAGCCAATCATGAACAGTCTCAACTCATTGACAAAGCAAAAACTATTATTCCGTCCAAATCATTTACCATCAAGCCAAACATGAATAATAAACAAAATTGATAAAAATCAAATGTATCAACAAAGCTTTGTTTGAAGATTTGAATGCATGCAAAAAAGCAAGTTATTCACAGTACAACTTATTTTGAGCATCATAAAACCTAAAGCATATACTATCCCTTATTATGAACATATATTCATCCATTTTTATAGAAAATTACATGAATAAAAAACGACTTAACTTCTTTAGGTATTTATACACACACAAATGCGCACCATGAATTCTTATCGAGCAGACAATAATTGAGCTGGCTGCCTTGCTCTTGTGTTTGTCCGCTAATTGAGTAAAAGAATTGAAAAGTTTTGCTTAATCCTGGCGCATTTGCTTTATGAAAGAACCAAACAAAAGCAATTGTGAAGCCAAAGGTTCTTGACAAACAAACAGCATTTTTATGCAACCCTAATAACAGAGTAAAGATTAAACAGGAGAACTGCATTTGCCACTATTGACACGTATTCTTCTTAAAAATAACAAATGTTTGGAAATTAAATTTTGGCGCAGATTCTCTAATGCTTTGACATGTCATTCCCAGCATAACAAAGTACTGGCCCAACAGAATAATCTTTCCCAATCAAGACTCTAAGAAGATTTCAACTAGCTGGCCGAAAAAAAAAAAAAGTGAGATGACACAAGATCAATCAGTCATTCTTACCATACCCCTCCTTGTCCTTCCTCACTTGCTTCAACAGAAACGCATCGTTGGGAAGATTTTCATCACTGAAGTAATACTCAACCTATAAAAGTGCCAGTAATCAACTCAACCAAAAACCAAATAAAATGCAAAAACAAAACATTTCAATGCCATTAAAGGAGAAGAACATTAAGGTAAACTACATAAATAATCACGAGAGAATCACCTGCCGCACGATCTTATCAAAGAGAACATTGTGAAGGGAAGCAGCAGCGGAAGACACCGTATCGTCCTGGGTAACAGGACGTGAACCCTCATCCACCGGCTCGCAGTCTTCGAGATGGTCTTGGGTTTCGGAATCTTGGGGATCTCCGGATGTATCCGCAATGAAGTGGTCTTTGGAAGCGGGAGAATCGCCGGCGGCCAGAGGAGGAGGGGGAGGGGAAGAAGCCCGCCCTTGGGTTCCCATGAAAACAATATGCGCAAGCGGCCGGCCCTTTTCCCCCAGCTCGACCACGTCCCGCTTTCCATGTATTTATTACGAGGTCTGGGCCGGATGGATAGCACCGGTTTAGGCTAGCGATGGGCCCGGCTCACTCCATTTGATATGTTTTATAATTTTGAAAAGTAATAGTCAATCATCCTTGAGCTTCAATAATCCTTTGAACCAAATAATGATAACTAAAATTATGCTTGGAATATAAATTTTATTAAATTTAAATTTATATATATATATATATATATATATATTTGAATGATTAAGATTTATGATATTTGTAATATAAACAAATAATTTAAAAAGTTATATTTTACCTCAATTAAATATTAATCTTTAAATATTATATTATAGGGTGAGATATGTTGAATAAAAAAAGGGTTTTATTCTTAAAAAAATAGTAGATTAGTTCACTGCATATGTACACCTTGATATACAATACTTGTAACATGCAAGGATTAGCCGAGTTCGCCACAAAGAAGCTCGACCAAGAGGTGCACCCATCTAGAACATACCTCGGTTAGAGAAGATTTGCCCTGGTTAAGATCCAAAAAAGACATGCACTCACCCAGTGAAGGTTGGATCAGAGGTTGAGGAAACACATATGCCTGATAAGAATTTGACTGAGGGAGAAACACTACTCAACAATCTCGACTCAAGGAGGTACTCACCCCATAAGAAATCACCCAAAAGGAAGACTCAACCTAGGGGTAATTTATTGCCCATCACCATTACAAAGAGAAAGTAATCAAAATAATTATCACAGAAATCTAGCACAACAAACAACAAATCAACCAGCACACATTTCACATGTACATCATCATATCACAGAAACAGAAAGAGAAACACCAGCCAAACAAAAGCTAAAAGTCGTGTCCTAACAAACAAATTTAGATGTGTATAGTAGGCTGTTTGATTTATATATGTTATATTTAGGGTAATTTAATTAAAGTTATTTTCTGTTCTGATTTGTTGAAAGTCAAAGGAGACCTTTAATTCAAATTGAAATATTAATGTCTTAAGATTCATTTTAAAGATTTATCTTTAGTGTTTAATGAAACTATCTTTATTGCTCATCGGGGCCGCAAGGTTTATTTCACTCTCATTGTGGCTAACTTCATAGTCTCGTAGGTCCGGATTACCCAATAGTATTTTTTAGATTAGTTTAGTTGGTTAGAAATTAAGGGTTGATTAATTGATTTTAAACGGTTGATTTACTGTTTGATTAAGTTTTAAAGACTAGACTCCCTTGGGACCCCTCATACAAACTATAACATTAGAGAGGACAGTCCAAGCATAGCCACAAAGTCTTGTTCATATGCGTGTAACACTTAATAATATATTATTTATTATTTATGTGCACTTAACTTTTTTTTAGCTCTTCTAACCCTACAAATAAAAGTTTGAAAGGTATTTTTAGAATATTTATATTATTTTTACTCTTATTAGTTATTATCCCAACAATTCATATTGGAGTAGTGTTGTCATTAAACTTAATTGTTTTGTTAACCACTTGGTCCGTATAAATGCTATAATTATGTTTATAATATAAAATTTATTATAAGTAAATTTGATACGTAATAAAAAATTATCTTGATCGGGGATGAATCTCGATGCAAAATCAAGTTGGAAACTTCCAAAATTAAAATTGGAACCATATGAACTCCGATTTCAGCAAACTTATAGTCAAACTGAACGTCTCAGAAATATGAACCCAACGACACCAAATTCGATTCAATCTGAGCCCAAATGAGTCCAAATCAATGACCCGAAGCACTGTTGGAAGGTTCGAACCACAATTTGGATTACCAAATGGTTTCCAAACATTACGTGCTTATAGTCAAATCGAGTAGCTCGATGAGACAAATCCAACGAGCCCAAGATCGTCGAATTCCGACATCATTAAGACTTTCAAATGTCTGACGAACGGTCCACGATCAAGGGATTTAATATCGGCTATCCATCTAAACCACTATCCATTTGCCCTTGATCTCCCACCTATTTATGGGCCATGCCACTCTAGGAATCTATAAATAGATCCTTCCTCCCTTTTAAAATGGAGGCTCGAAGCAAGAGAGCAAGAGAGAGAGATCTGAGATCGCTCTTGCCTCCTCGCTCCTTCTCGACCACCGCCAGGACTTCTGCCGGACCACCAATTGACACCCAGACTTCTATCAGGCCACCAACTCATGCCCAGAGTTCTACCATAGTACCGCCCTACTACAACGATCTTTCTGGCTCTGGTCTCCTATCTACTATGGTCTTTCCGACATTTATCCTATCAACTATGGTCCTGCCGACCAAACAAGCATAACTATGTTAATTTTTGTAACTCCCACAATGTAATGCGCTCTATATGATGTACATTTGTAACATCAAGCCAAGGCCTTCTCCCTAAGAAGGGCCTCATTTGTAATCGACTGCAAATACTAGTGGATTCATTCAAACTGGGCCATAACCTTTAGTTTTTCCCCTTTTTCCAGGGGTTTCCACGTAAAAACTCTTGTGTCTCTTATGAACGCTACACCCTCTCTCTTTTCTGATTGCATGTTGGATCTTTGTGCAATGCTAAGACGTTAAACTTCATATTTCTCTACCGCTACAAATATTCTAGGATGCAACAAAATTGATTAAATAAACAATATATTATTTTTTTTAGAAGGATTGAATTACTTAAGCTGATATTTATTTCACCCTAAACTTTTAATTTCAAATGATTATGATTCAAAATAGCTTAAAGATTAAAAAAATATGATTTAAAGCTTAACCATTATGAATGAATGGTAGACTATCCATAAAACTCTTCAAAATGATATATTTTATTTTATAAACAAAGACTTTATCGCTATCAATTTTCATCACTTCAGCAACAAATCATTGGCATCGGCCATTAGTTGTTTGCCTAGGCTAACTAAAGTTCTAGCTTGTTGATCAGGTCAACCTAGGGGTGGGATCATCAAATAATTTTTCTGATGATGAGAGTGCAATTAAGGCTTCATTTGGGATTGCTTTTTTACTGCTCTCTTAAAGCAATTTTTTAGGACTAAAATTAAAATATTTGTATTAAAAAAATACTTTAAGAAGCAGTAAGAAAGCCGTCCCAAACGAAACCTAAACTTATCTATTATTAATACGAATATGAAATATTTTGATATAATTTCATATAAACACCCAAAATATCTTCTAAATTTCTATTAATAAACAATTTTTTTGCTCATTTCAAGCATTTTTTATCATTTTAGAAGTCCAAAAAGCCATCAAAATTCTCTAGATCTTCCTTGCTTTGCTAACTCTAATTGTTCATGACATGCTAGTTGGCAACATTTGCCCATACTGTCTTTTAATATTCATCACCAATCAGTTGTTCTTCAAATTCCTCATTTTTTTTGGAGAGAAATTGCTTAGACTGTCTTTATCATTAGTCATTTTTTGTTTAAGTAGTATGTTCCTTAGAACAAGAGTGCATATTGCTCGCTTTCATCAACTTAAACATCAACAACTCAACTTTAATCTTTACACCATAAATAAGTGATTTTCGCCATAGTTTTGGCCTTTATACTATATAGACATCTTCTTCAACTTTATGAAATGACATCAAATTACAACACAAATCTTTATGGAGTGGAGATTCACTACAGAAAAATCAGGAATTACTAGCTATTTTTTTTCCGGCGGTTTGTATTATGTTTCCGACAGTTTCCTAAAATACCGGCGGTTTTCCGATGGTTAGTAAACCACTAGTATAAACCGCGTAGGAATCGATTTCCAGCGGTTAACCTTACCGGCAGCTTTCCGGCGGCATAAACAGCCGATAAATTCTGGCGGTCATAGCGCCGGTGACCACCAGTTAATTACCGGCGGCTTGCCAGCCATACAAAATGCCGGTTTTACCGGTGTATTATTAAAAACCCCCAGTAATTCCGACGGCTATAGGACCGCCAGTAATCCCTGTTTTTCCTATAGTGATTTTCTAACTAGGCAAAATTGTATGATTTGTCTCATCACTAGTTTTCATGTCAAAAATTAAATGTTTCTTATTCTTCATTTTTTTTCCGATGTGTATGGATGAGAGAGAGAGAGAGAGAGAGAGATGCCTCCAGACAAGTTAGGGGAGAATGCTATTGGTTTTTCCATTCTCTTTATTAGTTCCCCTCTTCTCTGAGGCTATTGTTCAGTAGTTAAGCATCTACTAAATGACTATCATTAAGCTTTTCAATATCAGCTAAGAGTCTGCTAGGAGATCTTTTGTGCATTTCTTGGCTTATCTCTGATTAAAGTTCCAAACAATGCCAATCATAAGACAAATGTGCTTATAAGGCTTGTTAAGGAACTAGCAAATACTTCTAGTTCTAAAGACTCACGAGTATACCCTCACAGTCTTAGCATTTAGTGAAATTATTATTTCTTTTAGGCTTCGTTTGGGACGGCTTTTTTGTTGCTTCTTAAAGCAATTTTTTAGTACAAAAATTAAAATTTTTATACTAAAAAGCTGCTTTAAGAATGAACAAGAAAGCCGTCCCAAACGAAGCCTTAGTGACTTTAGCGAGATGATGCTCAATATGACCACCTACTTTATCTTTGATGGCCTTTAAGATTGGTTAGAGACAAATAGGGTAATACTATTTGAGTTGGTAATATGTTGTTAGCATTAGGGCTATCTCATGTGTTGAACCATCCCTTTGACATTCTAAATATGTTGACTTTATTTGGTATGAGCTCAATGTTTTGTTTGGAATAACTTTCTTATTGCTTTCTAAAGCAGCTTTTTAATACAAAAATTTTAGTTGAAAAAATTTTTGTACTAAAAAACTGCCTTAGAAAGCTGTAAGAAAGTTGTCACAAATGAAACCTAAATTAACTATCCTAATAGGCTCAGGGACATCTTTTTAGCATGTGTATTATTTAAAAGATCTAATGACCATTATTGATTGACTTAAATATATATATATATATATATTAAGGGTATGATTTGAAATCATAATCTTATATAACACAATAAAGTTTTTCTAATAGATAACCTAA